AAAAAGTCGGGGAGCAAATTGCGCGGGGGGGAGCGCTCCCCGCGTTCCCCGCCGGGGTCCCCGACGGGGACCCCGTTCCCCGACGAACACTAGTTAAATGTGTCTATCAAAATGATTCGTGCTGCAAGCAACCGCCCAAACTTTGGATGAGCTTCATTACTGCAGATTCAGATTCATTGCTTGCTAAGATGGATACCATAGTAAATTTGAGGCAAAGCCCTGTGGTGAGCCTCAGTGGAATGCAGGGGTTAAACTTTGTTTGAGGTTGATGAATAAGCCGACCACTTTTATCTAACACGTTAACTACGAGATTACCATCTTATGATATCTCAAATCTGAAGGAAAAGATTTTCGAATGTCGTGTCGCAAAGTCTAGGAGCTAGGGCTGATTCCCTTGCATCGCGCAAATGAAAATTTTCGACCGTTCGTAGGTGTGATGGATGCAATCGCTTTTTTTCCTTTGCCAGATGTAGATGCCGGTGTGAATTATTTCCTTATTTTAGTGTTGAACATGTGCAAGCAGAACAATTGTTCATGTACTTCGTAAAAACGCATGTGAATGGTTCATGCACTGGAGAAGTTTATGATGATGGTAGCGTTCATTTTCGTTTTGTCTCTCCACTGTTCGCTCTTCCAGTGTGGAATGTTCATAATAGTACAGTTGGATGGCGGCCCGAACAAACAATACCGCAGAAGGTTGGAATAGAAGAAATGAAACCAAATTAGGGGAATCGCATTCGTCAGTTTGGAAAACTATCTGTTCTACAGAAGGAGCAGGGTTTTTCATTAACATCATGGTACAATACTATATTGATCATCCAGTGCGCATAATGTTGGGAGGGTAACGGAACGACAATGGATTTTCGGTAGAGTGGAACGAAACAGCAACCGGTGCTTCATGGTTCCGGTAGAGAGAAGGGATGCGGAGACCCTCATTCCTATAATAATTGATAAAATTTTGCCGGGCACCACTATTGTGTCCGATTTGTGGCCAGCGTATGGTAGTATCAAAAGTTTACCACAGGGTTACCAGCTGTAATGAAGTAGGGAGATTTCGTATATCGAGTGGTTGGACGATCACAGGAAACGAAACCTTTACTTGTACGAACACTTAGCAACAAACAATATCACTTGATCAAAGGCGTACACTTCCAAAAACAGTCGCAATCCATCGAATTGCTCCCAGATTAGTGATGATAAACAAATCCTCGGCATCAATACATCGAGTTGCTTAGTGATTAATGATGACAAACAAGATCTTCGAAATGAATCAATCACTCGAAATGCTCAGGGAATAATGATAATAGACAAAAGGAACAAAGACGAGGCGATGATAAGATATTACGAACAAAATAACATAAATTACTTTCAATATATTTCAAAAATAGAATATTCAAGTGATCGTGAATATCCTAATTCACGACACCAGCACCAGACCGTGAATCGCTCCAAAAATTTTGTAGATCCGGTTACCAGGGCTTGCACAAATACAGTGGAGTCAATGTGGCAAAAATTTAAGGCAAAGCATAAGTCACGTTTTGGTACGGATCGCCATCTGCTGTCCACTTATGTGGAGCAATTTGTTTGGAAGAAGGAATTTGGAGGAAATCACTGTCTGTACAATTTGTGGAAGCAAATAGCAGAGATGTACCCCATATAAGAAGGGGCTATAACAGCGCAACTTAAACCCAACGGCCCTCTTTAGGGCCACCAATAGCATAGACCAAACTTAATGTCATAGTTTCAACGATGGTTTCATTCACTGTAATATTTGACGTCTTTAATATGTGTAGCTAACTGTAAGTGATGTCATAGGAAATGCTGCACCTAGGTAGACATGTAATGGAAAGGCAATATCACATAGGTAAGAGAGGGAATGAGATAAAATACAACAAATGAGATATGCGATGTAATCAGTGGACGCAGACAGTGACCTTCAAATGAGAGATCTTGGACTTACAAAAATTTTTGCTCGAACTGCCACAGTGGACTGTTAAAAGCCTCTTATTGTTAGTCAATAGAAGTTCTTTCAATATAATCGCTGTGTCGTTCCTTTCTTGCAAAACCAATGCCGATTCTTGTTATTAGTTGCGGTTAATGAATTTCGTTCGAGACGAGGAAAGAAAGGCGAACGAGACTGTTTCTATGAGCTTTACACTCCAACCTTCTGAGCCTTCTAATGGTTATTGCATATTGTTGCTGTCGTAGTAGTGTGAATATCGTTTCGCTGATGAAGTTGTTCATTGTTCTGGTTGTTTTTTTTTTTGACTGGTGAAATTGTGAAGTTGCTCAATTCAAACGTGATAAAGTTGTTCACTTGTCTCACTAAACTTTTTCGCTCAATCTGTTGTTGTTCCATCAAAGTTGTTGAATTTCCGTGGTCTCATGAATTTCATTATGATTTTATTATTCATCTCATGCACCTCAAGCATTATGATTTTATTATTGTACTTATAATTCCATTATGATTTTATTCAGTTATTGCATGATTCATTGTTGATATTATTATTTTATTATTGTATGATCTTATGCATTACGATTTTATTATTCGATCAGTTTTGTATTTTTTCGCGTCTTTGTGTTCCAATACTAATTATGGATTTTTTTTTGCTTTTATGTGGACGGGTTTTTACAGAGTGAAAAATAAATGAATTTGTCTTATCCGATGTATTCACTCACACCGCAGGAAATCAACTGAGCCCCAAGTTTGCCCCGAGGTCCCCAGCTAGAGTCACAACGGCGGACTTAAAGCACAGTCCAGGCGGTTGTTTGCGGGAACGATCCTACTCATGATAAATATAAGAAATCGTAATATGTCGAGTAATACGCCTTTTATAATCTACGCACACAATGGTGAATATGCGTTCGTATTGTCAAAAATCGAACCGAAACGAACTTTGGGTGACCGACTGTACGCTTCCAAATGTCGTAGTTACATTTGTCGTAGACCCGGAGCAAACAGTTCATGGTTGGTATAATGCCAATGAAATGCAAAAATTTACAGAAACAAAACACTTTTGATTATTGGCAGGGATTAGTCATCGGTGATGTATTCACTTTTGATGCTTATCGCAGTGAGACAGTGACTCGTCGTGTTCATATTTAAAGCTCTAGTTTCGAAGTCTACAAACCTTCATAGCAGTGGAGGTTTATCAGAAGCATTCGGAGCGCTTTGTTTACCATCACTTTAGTGTTTGTTCACTTTGCCTGTTCACTTCAGTGCTGTTCGAAGAAGACATATGAGCTTTTTCGACGATAGGTAGTGGGAAGTCTCACCACTACAAGGTCATCAACGACATGAAGGATCGACTAGCCGATTTACAACGGGTTTCTTATTATTCATTTATCTTTCCTGATAACAACTGTTATTCAGAGCACTTTCAAAAAGATGATATCTTCAATAATACAGCCTTGATGAGCGATTAAATTCTACTTAATTTCAGGAGGTGAATAAAGGTCGTACATTATCAGACCTACATGATAGCATCACTGAGCAACAACAGTACTCAGGTGCTAATGAAGAGGCAGCGCTTTTATCCGACGATCACTGGAATAATGTCGAAGCGGTCAGTTTATGTTATTATATTTACCATTTGTAATTTAATCAGTGATCTATATCGTTTGTTCATCACGAGCAAATACAAATTTGTCGATATGCTATAACTGCCAGTACCATTGATTTATGTGCTTGTTGTTGGTGATGTGTTCAATTTTTTGTGTTTAAGTTTTTGTCGCGTGTCAATGCGGTCTTGAATGATTTACATGAGATGGAAACAATTTTTGAAGAAATAAAAATTAAGCACTCACAAGTGTTAATTGAACCTGGTGTTCATCCAGGTTAGTGCTTTTTTTGCATTGTTTCGTTCAAATTTTCATATTTTCTTCATCGGCACCCTGAGTTAAGTTTTTGCTCATGACTCATGTTGTCAATACAATTTCTCTTCCAGACTTCACCGAAGAATTGAATCGTGCTACAGAGTTATTCAAGATCAAATCCTATGCAACACAAAGTGCAGTTAAACGTTCGTTCGTATTATATTCAATTATTTCATTTTATTTTGATGAATTTTCTCTTTCAATTTTACCAACTTCAGATTTCCTGTCGAATTTGTTATACGAATGATGCGTTGTTGCCTTCTAAGAAAACATTTTTATTAGGGGAGAAATCCGTAGAAAGAGAACTAATGTGTTTGACGCTCACAGTTATAATTATTCTTGTTGCTAATCATCGTCATTTATCATCTGCCTTATTTTCACTGTTATCATCTATAATTGATTTCTAGAAATGAATATGGAAGTGGAGAAATTGAAAGGTGATCCGAAAGATCTGTCTGTGAATGGCGTTGATGCACGTATCAAGCGGAATCAGGTTCTCGCTTCAAAACCACTTAAATATTTGATGATTTCGAATAGATTTCACTGTCTTTTGATCTAATTCATGAATTTAAAATTGATTTTGTGGATTTCCTGAACAAAATTTCCAATTGACTGTTACAGATCACTTCGTTTATGAGGAAGAAAATTATCATCTGGTTCATCTTTTCAGGTTATGGCCTTAACAAAAAAATTTCAAAATCTTCTTCTAGCGTTCAGTCAGGAACAAATAAGATACAAAGAGAAATCGAAACAAAAAATTACATCTTATTTAACGTTGTGTACGTTTATGCGCTTGTTTATTGTTTGTTTTTTTGCATGAAACATTCATCAAATTTATTGCCTAAGTTAACTGATTGACTGCAGAAGTGTATTGAGTATTTGTATTGCAGCCGGTCGTAATATGCCTGAAGAAGATATTGATAAAGCGATAGAAAGTGGGCAGTTATTCGATTTCACGAAAGGAGTGAGTTTTACAGCTTTGTTGGTCTCGTTTTCAGCTACTTGCATAATCAAAACTCAGTTCCGTAGGATTGAAAATTTGACAATACAGTATTTGTGGTACGTTGGTTTAATTTTGGCTGACTTTCGTCGTTTTAATAGTAGCAGCAATGATAGAACTATATTGCAGCTGATATTAGCTGAACGTGACAAAAAAGCCTTATATGATGAAGTGAAAAGTCGTCATGAGGATATTGTGAGGTTAGAAGCAAGTATCAGGGAGTTGCACGATCTGTTTCAAGACATGTCGATGCTGTTGGAAAGTCAGGTGAGCAGTTGTAAGGTTGAAAGTTGTTGTTATTGTTAATATCTTTTTAGGGTGAAATGTTGAATCATATTGAACGAAATGTAGAAAGTGCGGTGGAATATGCAACTAGAGCATTTACAAATGTGAAACAAGCAAAAGAATTTCAAGCGAGTACGAGAAAGGTTATTTATGAACGCATTATATTTATTTATGTATTCGTTGACAAATAATGATGATAATTGTGTTGATTTTCAGAAAAAGATCTGCATATTAATAACACTTATAGTCATCATAATTTTATTATTCGTAATTGGTTCAACGTTATTCTGTTTTTACGTGCCATTTTTATGCAGAAGTTGATCAACTATTAATCATATCGCAACGATTTTCTCAGTTACTTAATATATTTGATGATTTTTTTGAATAGTTGCTCTCGAGTTTCCTTTTCAATCCTTAAAATAATTATCCCCTCAAATATCTCCGAAGTTGTTTGATTATATACAAGCATTTCATTTCAAACTTGCATTGTAATTATTGTTATTGCTATATAATATAGTTGTTATCAGGAGCATTGTATTCTGAATTAGAAAACGTAATTTTAACGTTGCTCAAAGAATTTTTGTTGTTCTATCGATATTATAATATATGAACATTCAGTGAAGGGAGTGTGCTCCTATCGGACAGATCAGTCCGACTGTATTTTATGTGCTGTATTAGTACCGTTATATTTTTGATGTTGTTATTGTTATTAGTATCGCAATCAATGTTTGTATTTATGAATGATTGTTTTTGCGGTTCGTTTATCGGGAGCAATGATGATATACTTTACCGTATCAATCGAACGATTACGAGCTTTTATTTCATTAACTCTTATATGTGGCCTTCTTTCGAGGATGTTAACTCAGTGCGATAGTGTTTTTAATGTAACTTTAAAATTTTTATGTGTTCGTGGGTTTATTATTTATTCATCGATTGATTTCATTGATTGAGTACTAGTTGAGTAACTGTATTATTTCTGTGATGATTGTTATTATTATTGCTCGCATTTTTAGCACTACCACTGTCGTTATTATTAATTAATTATTTGTTATTATTATTATTATTGTTATTGCTGTTATTACTGTTATTATCATTATTACCGTTATCATTATTAGGCATTGTTATTAAGCGTTATTAGGCGTTACTACATTAAAAACATCGTTGCATGGTTAATTAATTCATAAATGTGCACCAGTGGTTTATCAAAGAGGAAAGGGAAAAAAAAGAGAAATTAGAAAGCATGGAAGAGGGATAAACGTTAAAAAATCTGCCGCAAGATTGAACTACTTTCATGTCCCAGACCGTTTTGCATCCAATCCTTTCTGGAAGAAATCTTGGCTGCGACACTGATGTGCACTATTAATAATTTGTTCATCTGATTATTTCGTTCATTCTTTTTAGTTTCTCGCCTATTTCCTTTTTATTTTATTAGATTCGATTTGAACAATTTAGCTTTGATTTAATCATTTCGTTCGTCAGGTTTCTGCCCGTGATAACACTGATAGTAAAAATGATATTAGTAACAGTGCTATAATAATAATGATAGTAATAATAATAATTTATATTTTGTTACGTTTGTTTGTAAATGTGCTGAGATTGTTTATTTTAAGTGCCTATCAACTATGCATATATATATATATATATATATATATAGATGCTGGTTAACCTTAATTTC